CCCAATAATCTTACAAAAACCTCTGGAAGAGCATGACATTGTGAATGGATTCATGGAATTTATTTACCAAAAAAATTAAACATATACAGCCTTATTCTACATAATTAAAAAACTAATCTTTATTTCATGATGGAATAACCTTTGGATGGTAATATATTTTCCACAAAAAGAATTTTATTTAAAAAAAAATCTGATTTAAATAAAAAAAAATCCGATTTTTTTTTTTTTTTTTTTTTTTTTTTTTTTTTTTTTTTTTTTTTTTTTTTTTTAAATCATTGATTTTTATCCTCCCTGCCCGTAACACAAACTAATGTCTGGTGCCCATTACCATTGGAACTGATATACTTGTAAATGTATTCAAATCAAAAACCACCTCCAAAAGTACAACTAAGACTCCCCCACAACACAATCAACACCCTCCCCTGAAGGTGTACAAAATAATATATGTGAAAGTGTTATCCAAAGAAACAAAAAATCAAACAACAATAGTGAAGTCCAATCATCAGTCCATCTATTAACCCTAGCTTCCCTATTTCTTCACAGTGAAAAATAATTCGGGCTGTAGAATATAATCAAAATCAATTCTTCCAGCGATATCCCCGATGTATATACCTCAAAAAAAGAAAATATCATATAGTGCATTACCTTTTATAAACATAAATATTATTCCAATATATACACCATGCAATTTATGCAGTGAATATTTGTGCAAATAGTGAAAAACGTGAAATCTATGAAAATCTATGTGATGATTGGACTTCACTATTGTTTGATTTTTTGTTTCTTTGGATAACACTTTCACATATATTATACTTGTAAATGTGGCAACTGGCATTTTCAAAAAGAAGGCAGCCAGGTTTTACAATGGGCCAGGTTTCTGTATAATCAAGGCTTGTACTTTAGTGACCGTCCTAGGAATGTGCAGATAAATCGTCCGGTGAAGAAAACAAGGGCCCGGATGTTAGAAGCATTGTGCCGGTAGGCCGTGCCCTCGTGCTTACTTCAATGGCATGTTTGGCGTGTGCTTTTAAATCCATCGCAGCCGTACGTCCACTACATAATACAAGGCAGCTTGTGCAAAGAAGAGGCTTCTGCAAATGGATGAGGAGCCACAATCCTCTCTCAGCAGACATGTAAGGTTTAGTCAGAGATTTCCTTGTAAGCTGTCAAGGACACTGATTGCACTGACTGATCTGACCCGGGTTATGTAGCCAAGACTGAACCTCACTTACATCCCTAAACAGTTGTGTGAACTATGAATGGAAGCTGCTCTATGGGATAAAGAACGCCCCCACCAGACAAATGTAACCAATGTTCCGTTTAGTCTCGTTTGTTGGATATTTGCCTAATGGGTGAGAAGCCTGTTGCATGCAGTTGCCTGTCCTATATCTATAAATGAAAGTGATCCTGTCATTAACCACTTCCTGTCCGGACACTTTTACCCCCTTCCTGACCAGGGCAGCTTTCAGCGCTATCACACTTTGAATGACAATTGCGCGGTCATGCAATACTGTACCCATATGAATTTTTTACCATTTTTTTGACACAGATAAAGCTTTATTTTGGTGGTATTTATTTACCGCCGGGATTTTTATTTTTTTTGCTATGTAAATGAAAAAGTCCAAAAATTTTGAAAAAAAGTGTTTTTCTTATAAAATCTTGCAAATAAATAATCTTTCATCATAAATCTTGGCCAAAATGTATTCCGTTATCTTTTTAGAAAAAAAAAAAAGCCAAACTAGTTTATAACCAAATTATAATTTTTAAACATTTTTTTTTAAATTTTTATTTAATTTTTTTATATTTGTTTTTTTGGGGTTTTTTTTTTTTTACATACTGTGGTGACACTGTACTACTTGTGGGGGGGTGATGAAGATTTTTTTTTTTTCTTTCAGTGATTGCTTTTACACCCATATAGGATGTAAATGCAATCATTTCTCTTTCTCTCTGTCTGCATTCTTGCAGCCATTGAGAAATACTGAGTGAGCTGTGATTGGTCACATGGTACAAGGCTGTTGTGAATAGCCTTGTACCATGTGACGTCTGTGATCATTCACAGATTTCACACGTAGCAAGCAATGATGTCACAAGTGACATCTTGCTTACTACTTTGCTGATTGGCCAATCAGTGATCACATGATCGGGACCTCGTACAGAGGTCCCGTCCGACGATTGGTGTTTCACTGTGTTCGGAGGACACAGCGGCACCGGATCGCGGTGGTGCGTGCTCCCAGGGAGCGCGCACAGCTAGAAAAGGCGGGTGCCGTTTACAAACGGCAACCCGCCCCTGGAGTGCCACCGCCCTGCCGTTTATAAACAGCAGGCGGACGGCAAGTGGTTAAGGCCCTACTGCACTTTAATTATGCATTGCTGTAATACAGTCAGGCTGCATAAACTGTAATAAAAAAAAAATATTTATGCTGCAGAAAGGGTTATAGCTGACCTCCAGCCTTCCCTTCAGTCTTGTACATTCTACAGGTTCCTCTCCTGGAATGAAATGGCTTACTGTGATTTCACTGCACACTGTGAGCTTCTCTCAATGTGCATTGGAAGCTGCAGCAAGTCAGAGCTCTGCCTCATTTTCCGGCTGGAGGATGTCTTTCCTCCCCAGCTTAACTGTCCCTTGTCCCTTTCATTTAATGTATTTTTGGTTCTTTCAATCATGGGTGCTTAGCATCACATGCAGGTATTACCCAGGGTAGTCTGCCTGCTCACTCCTGCAGACTCGCATCCATCCATCAAGGCATTTTGCTTGCATTAGGGTTGAGGACTCTTGAGAGATGTACCGAGGCAGCACCCTGCCACCAGCCATGATCTGCTTGCATTGCATAGAGAAGCACAGAAACTCACGGATGACACCACTGGGTCTAAAATATGCTATTTAATGAAAACAGGTTTTTTTTTTTAAGACCTCATAAGCTTGTTCTTTGGGGGGGGGGGGGTGCCACTTGGGGAATGTGAGCACTGTATAGGGGGCAGAATATTAGTCTGCTGGAGAGCAGGGCTGCTGTGGTCTGTCTGTCTGTCTCTGACTCCAGCGTGTCACCGGCACACTTTTTTTTTTTTTTTTTTTTTTTTTTTTTTTTTTTTAACCCTTTAAAAAAAAAAAATTCCAGTATATGTATCCTGAGTGTATAACAGTAATAAATGCAGCTTTAGCTGGGCTTAAAGTGGTTCTAAAGGCTCAAGGTTTCTACCTTCTTGCATGCTATGTATGAAGGTAAAAAACGTGTTCAGCAGCCCCCCCCCCCCCCCCCTCAATACTCACCTGAGCCCCGTAACGATCCAGCGATGTCCATGAGCCTTGGTTTGACAGGGACATTCCTTTCCTCATTGGCTGAGAAAGCAGCAGGAGCATT